GCCGCAAGAGCAGCCCATCGCGAGCAAGCTGTCAGCGTCTTTTTCCCCGCAGCCGAGGAGTAGCAGCCTTATTTCGCCGGCGAACACCCACGCACAACGACCTCCTTAGCCGTCGCAAGCCATCGTCGCAGTCCTCCCACCGCCGAGGACTATCCGCCGCCGCCGCACGCAGCCCTGCGAGCGAACATCCACAAGTCCCACGCCCCGCCGGGTCTCAGTTCGGTCTCGGTTCGCGGTCACCATCAGCCTTCACCGGGCTGAGACGTTCGCGGTCACCATCAGCCTTGCACCGGGCTGAGACGAGCCGTCCGAAGTCTGCCCGAAACCGCGCGCGAACAGACACAGTCCCACGCGTACACGTTGCGACCGAGGCTCGAAATTTCAGATCCGACCCTCCTCGCGTGTAGATTCCAGGTGAGGTGAATTACGAGTTTTTCCCTTTTATATTCGTGAATTTAGAGTATATTCTTGTGAAGTGCGAATCGTTAGATTGTGGAGTTGGGATCTTGAGATTATTTGATGGATTGGTGTTAGTGTGTGTTTAAATTTGGTGTTAATTGTTGGGTGAGAATTTGTGAGAAAATGGTAAAAGGTGGGGATAATTGTGGTTAAATCTGCGTGAATATTTGTGAAGTTGTTAGATCTCTAATTTTAGGAGGACCTTGTGAAATTTTGGTTATATTTGTGTGGATATCCGGATCTTGGAAATTGTATATATATTGGCGTGATTAAGTTAATGTGAAATTGGTGGACTTGGAATTCATGATTTGATCTTTGAATTTCAGCCTCAAAATTGGTGGCCGTTGATTCCACACATCCACGTGGATGCTTGTGTTTGTACGTCAATCAACGGTGAAAAGGGGGGCGCCAAGATCGAATTCTCAAAAGAAAAGTTTAACTCGCCCTAGCAATACAGAACGGGCACCGCATCGAGACTTGTGAGAACACAAACATAGATAGAGGTTTCTATAATTACATCTGAATACATAATGGTGAAACCCGAACAGCTCAATGTAGAGCAAGGCCCAACAAGAAAGCAGCAAATCAAGATGAAAACAGCAGTCACGAAGAATCGCGGATCGTCATCAATTTTCGTCTTTGTAGATTATCTCTTCTTAGTCATCTTCTTCAGTTTCCTTGGTTTCATTCTCTTCAAATTGGTTGGGTTTTGATTCCGTCATGTACCTTTCAATATTCTTTCTCGTTTTCTTTGATTAATTATGCTTGTTTTGATTATGCGAATGAACGATGTGATTGATAGTAGTGTAGGTTTCTTCAGATTTTGTTTTGGGAAAATGCATTGGGAATTTGGTGCGTTTTTTTTAGGTTTAAGTTTGCAACTGTTCGATTAGGTTGTCATTGGGTAAAAATGGTTTCAAATGCTTGCTTGTGTCACCAGCGAATGAATTATTTTTATTATTTGAATGGTTTTCTTTAGTTGATCAATGAATTATTTTTATTGGTTGAATGTATTCCTTTACTTCATTAATGAAATATTTTATTAGTTGAAACATTTCTTCAGTTTACTATAGAATGTTAGAAAGATTATCCTGCATTTATAGTTCCCCTAGATGCACAAAAATTACCTGTATCATCCTGATGGCTAACAATACATGTTGGTTTTCTTCTCCCGCACTTCAATTCATTGCATAGTCATGGTACTTACATTTAAGTGCGTGCGTGTGTGTGTGTGTTTGGATGATTGGATGTTATCAGTAATGCTCTTCTATCCACGGTAGGTACATGTTAATATGTTCACTGTTTATGTGACATTCACACATTGGTGATGTATTTTTTTGAACATATTAGAGCATGCACATGGCATGTAAATAGACTTAAGTCTTAAATGACATGGACAAAAAATTGAAGAGTGATGAAATTAACTCCAATGCAAATAGACTAGGTCTCTACTTGGGTCTAAAATAAACTTAAGGGTAGATCGAGTCTCATTTTTTTGCTGCCACATCAGGAGGACCTAGTCCTTTTGCATTTACATTGGAGTAAATATTTGTCTAGACTGAGTCTATTTCCTATGTGGCCTATATTTTTTGAAAGAACTCAAAGTATTGTAGATGCTCTTAACATCACCAATGTGTGCATGTCACACAAGCGGTGGACATATTAACATGTGTCCACCGTGGGTAGGGGAGCATTACTTGTTATCAGTTATATTGAGGTTCTAAAACCCATCACAATTTTTCTTCGAAACGAATCTCAAAACAATTGTATTAAAATCTATGAAGGCAGAGGACAATTTACCTTATTCTTCTTGTATTCCAATAAAAACACCATAAACTTTTTCTCATAATATTATCTAGGAAAACTATGATTCCCTTAAAACATAAACTAGGACATACCATTGTGAACCGTTCGAAATATTCCTATTACTTAAGATTATTTAAGAAGTTTGAACTTAGGTTGCAATCCATAAAATGAGTTGCAACCTATGTTCATTTCTACACTTTTATTTGGTGAATGGGTCGAACAATTTTTTGTTGCCTTCTTGCGATAGGGTGTTTTAAACATAACATGTGCCCAAATGCGAACTCGTATTGTAGTTCATCAAGTTCCATGAACTAGGTGATTTAATTGTGTTAAGACTAATTATCTCGTTTTACTATAGATCTTGGAATTTAATTAATCCATTAGACAATTATATTTTTTCGAGTGATGTTGTCGTGTCGTAATGCATAATCCAATACGTCACAGTTGGATTTTCTTGAGATCTTTATATGTCTACTACCACCTGGATGAAATGTCACAAAACAATCTTAGGAACATATCAAGACTTATGGCTTTTGATAGTAGAATCATTTATTTAGGATATCAGATGATTTCTACCTTGGTTCCTTTTGCATAATAAACTTTTTCTCACAATCTGTAAAAATATTCTTCATGCATCCTACAAATTTTCTCGCTTGTAGATAATTTCGTGTTACTAAAATGAGTTACTTCATGACACTTAATTAAGTAGGTAATTACTGTATTATATAAACATTAAATGCTTTATTTTGTGCATAATATTGTGTAGATTATGACAAGCAAGCTAAAATGAAGTGAAACAACAATTAGGACATGTCATTATCCTATGCATATATTTATTGTAACCATATGGACTGGCTTGTCTTATATATTGGCATGCCCCTGCTTCAGACAAAAATTATTATTGAAGAGAAACTATGTTAGTCTTTGATTTAGCTAAAGACATTCATGTTATGAAAAGATGAATCTGCTCAACCATTAATATGTTGTCTCAGCTTAGGTGTCTGTTGATTTGGTGCTGTTTTCACAGGATATTTAATTTCATGGGGACATTTCATTTTGGTTCGAATTCTCAAAAGATAATTATGGATGTGGCTCGGAATCCTCAATTTGTAATGATGGTGCGCTCGAGGTGAACATTCATGGCTGTTGTCGATCTTGTGGCTCTTCGTGACTGTTTAGGCTGGAGATACTGAAGATATGATCATTGTCAACGGTTTTGGTACCTTACCTTTGTGGTTGTGGTATACATGATGAGGAGAGATTATTAGTTAAGCTTGGCATGCATGCATTTTGCTAATTTCTCCTTAATTATGCTTTGTTTTGTTTGTGCAAAGGTTCAATATCGTAGCATTCTGGATTAGAAAAAACTATTAGTTTGTTTATTTCGTACATAATGACCGCAAACCCCCACAATAAACAGGAAGGTTGTTTGTGAAACACCATAAACTAGGTGAACTCTTTGAGCTCGATCTCCGTAATAGGTTTGTTTCCTTATTGAGCTAAATCGAGCTAAGAATTTTAATTAGTTATATTTTATATTTATTTATTTATATTCTAATATATACGAAGCTGATTTTGTAAAATAAAAAAAATAAACGGATTAGAAAGTCCTTATGTTTGATATTATTTTCAAAGTAAACTCGTAATAATTGTGAAGCTTAAATATATATAGTGATTCTTAAAAAAATGATGGTGTCTAACGTGGTCTATAGGATATTATAAAGACTTCTAAATTTTTACAACTCTAATTATTTTAATTAAATGTGTTTTTTTATTGAAACAAATTCATGGCATAAAAACGTGAGCTTACTTTCTTTGTAAGGATTATCATATTTCAATTTTATCGTTTTTTTGAATTAGTGTTAACATCTAAAATATTTACTTATAATAATTAGATAAAAATCCTTGCTTTTATGATCTTAATTATGAAATATCATATCAGAATTTATAAGAAAAAAATAAAACAATATAGAAAAAAGTTTACATAATTTTTTTAACCTCTAATTAGTGTTTCAAATATTATTCTTTTTTACTTGCTGACATCTAAAATTTTAGCTACAATAACATATCATAAATTCCTGCCCTTATTCAAAATTCATGATTAATTATTTATTCTTTTAGCATAATTTTTCAAACCACTTTGGTACAAACACAAAATTTTTTATCTCATTCTATTTTATGTCGATAACCCATCAAATATGCATAATATTTTATTACAATATTTAATTTATCAAGATATATAGGACGAGTTGGAAGTCAAATCATCAATGTGAAATAGACGAGTTTATGCTATTCCAACTGTTATGAACTCGACACAACAAGGCTTGTCTGGACTCTTTCGTTAGGGTTTTTAACTGTAGATTATCTATCCTACACTGATCTACATGTGTATCTAAAGTTAAAATCTCGATGAAATGGTTCCATAACGGGACTGTAGTATTTTCCACAAATTAGTACGTAAAAAGGATTTCTATATTGACTTGCATAATTGCAACTCATTCTATCCAAATGCAATAATATTCCATTAACGACTAAACCGAAACGGTTCAAGCATAACACACAGAAAACAAGAACATGGTACGACCTAAAATGAAGTCAGCTCATCCCAGAGCTAGATTGAAAAGAAATCACAATTTTCAACCGTTCGTACTTATTTCACTCGAAACTGAAAAACTAGAAAACTCATGGGTGAGATGGTGCAGAGATCTCTCCATCAACGGGGTTGGACAAAAATGTGTGGTCACCACTCGGAACATAGCTATGTCCGCCGGTCAAGCCACCATTAGATCCGCCTGTGACAGGATTGTAGGTAAAGGGGTTGGCATGGGAGCCTTTCTTGGGGAAGATGACTCGGCCGATGCCCGGGATGAGTACCGAGCGGTCAAAATGTCCAGCCCACTCGGGATGTAAATGGGTGTTCTCGGTTGGGACTTCTCGCCCGTTGGCCATGTGAACCGTGAGAGACGTGAGAAGGAAGATGGTGAAACCGAGGAAGATGGCTGTGGTTGAAGCCATTTGTTTATCTTAGACTAATAATATGGTGAGTAGTGAAGAGAAGAGGAGTTTTGATTGGTGATTTGTGAATATGTGGAGTTGGCTTTAGAAGGGGTTCTTATACTTCCAAGTAGATGGCTGTTTTGGCGGCGAGTTAAGGGATCAATTATGCGTGCTGTGTAGTGTTTGGTGACAGGTTGTAATTATTTGCATGCATTGATTGGTGTAGAATGAAAATGAAACGTGTGTAGTCCAGGCCGACTACGTTTTTTTTTTTTTTTTTGTTTGTTTTCTTTTTGTTTTTTGTTTTTTTTTTGTTTTTAGGAACGACATAGAAACTATTATAAATCAAAACGCACAAAGTGCAAATAAAAGTACAATACTCTTAACGGGAGAATAAACAGGCCGACTACTTAAAATTAACATTTAAGTTGTGTTGTTTATTTTTAACATTTTCTGACAATTAAGTTATGTTTTTTTTAAAAGAACGATAGAGATAATATAAACTCGAAATAAAATACAGAGTACTTGATGTATATTAGTATTTAGTATTATTATTATTATTATTATTATTATTTATTTAATAGGTGTCTTAGAGAATAAGTTAGGAATTTAGTATTATTATTTAATATTGAGATCTTGTCTTGTTGGACAAGTTAAGGTCTAGGGTTATTAGGAGCCTTATTTAAAGGATTCTTCTGCTTTGTTATGAGATAGTTGATTATGAATGAAATATGAATTGATTGTGAATTTTATCGAGAGAGTATCTCGTTTACTCGTTTATCCATCCTGCTCGTATGTCTTCCCTACAACAGTACCAGTACAACGAGCTAAATCCGAATAGAAAAATGAGAGGACACGCTGAAGCAGCCTAGAACCCGAACAAGCAAACTACCTCAAATATCAAAACCTCCACTGCCATAAGGCCTAGAGGTAATAACTAGAAAACTAGAAAAACAAACCAAACCAAGCCAACTAAAAAGAAAACAAACCAAACTAAAACAACAAGCAAGATAACCAAAGACAGCAGAAGAGGAAAACACAAGCCACAGCAAAGCAGTAAGTTAAGATTGAGAGCAGTCCATCCAGTCCTGGTGAGCAAGCTTGAACCAAGACATGGCTTGGCAAAGAGGTCTTCTGAAATATCCAGAGGTTGCAGCACTTCCATAGCCACCAAAATGAATAGGTGGTAAGTTGGATACGTACTTCTGCTAAATCAGATGAGTCTATGGAGCAGATTTGGGTTCAAGTATGGATGATGTTTAGTAGAAAAAATAAGAATAA